ATCTAACGTTCATGTTTTCAATTTTTATAGAGTTAGACACATAGATGGACATATTATTTTTGTATCGACAAACTGATTGTCTTTTTGGTCAGTCAATCTAACTTGTCTATTTTGGTACTCAAAATCGTCATTTTCAATCCTCTTAGTTAAAAAAAAATTTCGGGGCCCCCCTGTATTTTTGCCCTCGCAAGATTGAAATTCTGGCTACGTCCCTGATAGGGGGTAAAGGAAAATACTTTCTGAGTCAACTGCTTCTAATTTCATGCATGTAGAATGAATGAAGCTACGAAGTTGAGGATCTACCAGTTGAATGTTCCTTCCGCAACCAAAAATCAAAATTTCTGAAATCGTCATATGTCCGACTTAGCTATCTAACTAAGCAGATGAGAGTAGCAATTTGTACGTTAATACAGCTAGAGTTCTTGCTTTCCATTTAGAAGGTCCACAAGATGCAAGTTAAGAGTTCAAAAAGAACAATAGAATTGGCATATTCACATGGAAAAACCAATGTAGACACATGATACGTTTTTAAGCACTCTTTGAACTGTGATTTAACAATTGAACAGCATTTTACTTAAAAATTTAAGTGCAAGGATGACCGTTCAAAGTCGGGACAATTTTAGAATTTCATTTTAATAAGTAACATGAAATTCTATCTAGGTTAGGTAAAGACTGCAAATCGTGTAGAGCTCCAAACTTTCAATGAGTTTTGGTAGTAAAAGATCATGACACTAGGTTCTTCCATAGGCTTACTTTCTGACATACTAGATCAACAATCCAAATCAGTGTAATGGTACAGGGACCAGCTATTCATTTTTCTTCTTTATTCTGCAAACTCAAACAGCCCTAAATCCCAAAAAAGGAACTGTGTTCCCATTGATAATTATTATTGAGTTAATAGGTCCACAGGCAAACTGAAGACCAAATAACCTTGGTAATGTACTGTGACATCATAGGGTAAGCATTATAACCTAAATTTTGTGTACACATGGCTATGCAAAGAAAATTTCAAACTCTCGTTGCAAGACCTTTTCTCATGTCTTTAGAGTAATTTTTTCTCCCAAGTAATGTGAAAACCGCACCTAAATACCGACACTATTTACATTAGAAGATCGTATCATGTATGTTGAGAATACTCTTGTTCGCTAAAATCATATACCGTAAGTGCACGAGTCGAGTTCAAGTAATAAAATTGATTTTGAGTCCAAGTGATCTCTCGAAGAGTGTTTCTTCCAATTACACGATAATCGATTCAAATTAACAATAAAAATACGCAATTAAATTTCTTTGAAGTCAGAAATCAAAATAAAATAATTTTAGAGTTTAATTAAACTAATAATGGTGAAAGTGATAAGATTTTGGATTTTAAATGAGTTGGGACTTGCGATATTACTTAACCGTCTTTTCAATAATAAATCTCAATAAATTGAAAATGTAAATCACCTAGTTACAATGTTAGATCCGATTTTTCAATTTTAATTAGTTACCTCTCGCGAGCAAGCGAAAATAACTCTAGTTAATTAGTTTTACCAACTATATCTCTATGTTGATAAAAACACAACCAGAAGCATTAAATCGTAGTGAAAACTCAATGGATCACCTAAGATTAGGAGTATATCTCTATCTCCTAAAACAACAGTATTTTGGTCTTGGAAAGCACAACAAGCTCTCAATAAGTGCACAAACAACCTAACTCAATCATCTATTAGCCATATAAATGATGGAAATGTAAACACCACAGAAAATGCATGTAGCGCCCCGACCCGCATGGGTCGAAACGTTACAAGACTCGCTTTACTTTAG